AAGAGAAACCGGATATAAGAGACATTTTCTCTGGTCCCAAATTAAGCCTGTGTTAATGTATATAAAATAGACCAAACCCGGATATAAGAGACTTCTTCTCCGGTCCCGACAACTCTCTTATATCCGGGTTACACTGTATAACAACTTGGAATGAGAAATCAGAGAGCCGAGTTCAAATTCCAGTCGGGTTTGTTACATTCCCCAGGCACAGATGATCTTGAATCAAAAACACATATGATCACCCAAGCGTGTCACATCCACCCCTACCAACATACAGTACCGTCAGCAGTAATGGCCCAATTCCTCCCCATGAATCTGGAAAAGGTCTACGCCCAAGAAATGATGTTCATAGGCTGGCAATAATTAAAAATCGCAGTTTGGTTGGTGACGTAAACATTTTGTTGCACATTAGATTGTTTGGACAGTAGATATACCATCATGTATATGACGACGCGTGTATTATCGTGTATAATGCGCATCACTTTATGCTTAAAAATATCTGGTAAATGTGCGTATTATAAACGAATAATTACGTTACATATTTAAACTAAACAGGTTTCTGGAACCGAGTAAAAAGTTTGAAAAAAAGAAAGGAAAAACTGGATCATATCAGAGAGTTTGGCTTCAGCATTGATCACAGACAGAACATATCAGTCAATGCAATGTGGTAAAAATAAAGATGAATTTTAGATGTTCGAATATGTGCGTAAGAATGAAAATATTTAATTCCGGAATATACGATAGCGCGCAAAAATACAAAATCGAAGCTAATTACTTGTTGACGTCTCAAGAAATTTGACGATGTAAACATTTTTATTGATTGTTAATTGATTTGTTTTCTACGGTTTATCAATCTTCTACAGGTTATTTAAAGCCAGAAATATTTTAGAATGTAAGAATGTTTTTTTTTAGATAATAATGATTCTGTGATATAAGTCTTACTAATTAACCCATATCTCGGGGAGAATTGGTGGATTCATAACTCCTTTCCCAAGTGTGTTTCCGTGTAAGTAGATATAATGAACTCAACTGGAATTGTAACTCGGTTCCTTGATTAACAATTCCGAGCCATTATCCATTACACCGCCCGTACATCCAAGATTACAGCGCCAGGTATTTCCAAGTGGTCACTGACCAAGCTCGACGTTGCTTAACGTTGGATCGTACTGGAACCAGTGTTTCAACGTAAGCCTAAACAACGTTGAAAGGTTGGTGAAAATGATATCGTGTGATAATGCCAAGGTAATTACTATGATATGTGTCGTCGTGATGGATGCTAGTGATACCAAATTAGATGGTATCAAAGATAATATTGTGTCGTGATGACAGTCATTATTTGAGTCACTAGTATTATATGCGTCGTCGTGGCAGGAATACCAAATAAATTTATTATTGGAAATGGCTGACAGACATAGCGTATATCTTAAAATCCTAATATATATTTTTCTATAGCCGCGATATAGTTACATTTATGTACAAGGGTGAATAAAAACAGAGACACGTGTATAATATTTGAGGGTAAACACTTTATCTATATATTTACAAAAACTAAGATTACACAGTAATTTGGTCATGCAAAGAACGAAACACATACAAGATGCAAAAAGGAGAAGTAAAATAAGGTCTTGCTGGTGAGGTGACTCGGTCGTACATTGCATCATTAATGTGGCATTGGCCATGAAAGGCGAGATAAAAAGATTTAGAATAAAAATGTTGTTCTGACGAACTGGCATCAACTCGCGAGGCAACGTACATTTTCGCCACGTTATAGGGTTAGGGTTACAGTTCTTACGTGCACTTTAATTATTAAGGACAGATAATAAGGTTTTGTAATGCTACAGTCTCAAAGGTAAGGTCGTGCAATGATGCTTAAGTGGCCATTATCGTGCGTCGTTGTGACAGGTCTTAATGCTATAATGAAAAGAATATGATCTGCCTAAAAATTAGTAAAAAAAAAAAAAAATTAAAAAATCATGACTGATGATTTCATTTGAAACTCTTTGGAAATTGATTATAATATCTGAAAGTAATGTTTTGGTCATGACAACGGGTTTAGTGTTTGACCTTCACCAAAACCATGACCTTCATCAAATGCAGTGTAGGATTTTTTTTTCTTCAGAGAAAATTTCAAACTAGGATAAGTTTTCATTAGATGGTAAAAATCAGGTCTATTGGCGATTGTTTCACTCGTAAGCCTATAGTTTAATGCTTGTAAATGGAATACCTTAACACGTATTGAAAATATTATATAGATAAATGAATTGCCTCCCTTTGTAGGGATCGTTATCACCGGCCCCTGGGTTGGGCTGAAAGCAGCCTCTCACGGCCTCTTTTTTCTTGTGCCACCGACGAGTCAACACGGACAAATTTAGCTCCGTAAAACTCAACCAGCAGCCACATGGTGTCCGAAAATGGAGCGGCCAAGAATACAAGATAGGAACAAGGATGTCCCAACAGTTGCAGCAAAGCATCCGAAAACTGAATCCATCTTCGACGTGAAGACGAATTATTCCGACGTTGCAACAAAAATGGGAACTGTTAACCGAACGAACTTTATTGCCACCAATTAAGTCCTCGCAAAAACCAGTTTTTTGGAAACGATTTTTAAATCCAATTTTTTTTTTTTATCTTCCCTTTTCTATCTTCCTCTTTCTGATATAAAGCCTTCCTTTTCTCCACTCAAGTTTGTTGTCCTGTTTTCTCTCGCCGTGTCGCGTCAATGACCTTTTTACCCTTATTTTCTACAGAGGACAATTAATTGGTTACCTAAATTCAAAGGGTATAAAACCCCGCATATCCGAAGACCTACCGTAAAAGATGACCGTATATTTTGAGCCCCCCCTTTTTTTTTTCTTCAGGGAACAGTTTTTTGAGGCAAAAATGCACAGTAATATTTTCCCTTCTCCCCCACCTTTTAGTTCTATCATTTTATTTATTCATTTTTTATCTGTTTAAAAATATTATTGTTCTACCGACCAGTTTGGAGGCTTACATCATTTCATATTGAAACACCGGTTTCCGTACGTTCACCGAAGTTAAGCAACGTCAGTACCTAGATGGGTGACCGCTTGCATATGCATTATGTTCATTCACACACGAATACCCTTGGGAAAGATATAAATCCACCTCTTCTCCCATCAGCTGTGGGTTAATTAGTAAGACGTCTATCACTAAATCATTATTATCGCCAAAAAAAATCTTACAATCTAAAGATATTTTCTGGCTTTAAATAACCTTTAAAGGGTTGATAAGCCGTAAAATGAATGAATCATTCTTCATTCCGTTCTTTTTTTCTTTTGTAATTATTGTGATACAGCGTAAATGTACTGAGTTCAAACAGGGCGACTGAACTGGTGGAATGACTGACGGGGGGCTATATTAGGACTGTCTTTTTATGGATCCTGAAAGAATCAAGATAACGATGTTTTTCGCCCATGCGGGATTAGTCTAGTTTTTTTTCTCTCTCAAACTATTGAAATTAATGAGTGCAGCCTATGTGCATATGACACATTGATACAGTTCTCTCATCTATGCGGAAGCATAAAACTTCGGCCAGATTATATGGCGAAGTCGTACATGCTTGTGAGTGACAAGAGGCGCCTACGGTAGCGCAATGTTTAGCATGCTTCTTTCACCGATCAGCGCATCAGTTCAGTCGTCAAGGGGTAATTCCGTTATTTTTGGACTTCTTGTGTCAGATTAATTTTGGTAAATATTTATGCCGTTTTATAGGTTCATTATCAGACACGTTGTTCAAGGGCTGAAAAACTGAATTCGACTTACTTACATTAAAAAGCGACCTCATTGTTATAATAAAAAAAAATCAAGAGCTCGACTTAAATACGAATAATCTCGGTGAATTTTAAAAATAACTTTTATTCGATTTGATTTATACTAATCTCCGCTTTCTTTTATTTTTCTCTTTTCATATCTCTTCTTTTTTTTTTTTAACTTCCTTTCTTTTTCTTTTTCTTTTTTCTCGCGTTCCTTCATATAAATGCCGACTATCAGAGTTGAAGGAGTCATTATTTCAACTTGGCGAGCATTGGACGGGATTTTAAAAGGAATCTTTTCAACGAAAGAGAACGAGAAAAAGTTTTTTTTTTTTTTGCTAACATAAAGACGCGGTTTGTTCTCTCTCACTCTCTAGATCGTTTCACCTCTAGGGAATCATTCCTCACCCTACCGACCGACCGCCCCCCTCCCCCCACAACCCATCCGACCAACTGATGAATGGGAGAAATGCACTCAAATACCGATGAATTTAACACCGGAAACAAATAAGCAGTAAAAGAAAGAAAAGGAAGAAAAAAAAAAAAATTCCGCGCGGCTGTGGGACGCCGGGTGTGAGTGGGGTGGGGTGGGAATAAAACTACTCAAAATGCATAAAAATACAATTTGAAATGAATAAAATATTCCAGAGAAAACTGAAAATGGGAGTTGGTAGCCATAGAGAGAGAAAGAGAGACAGGGAGAGATATTAAATGCTAAATGTTTCTTTTAATTTACCGCAAAGTAGCCCAGGTGCTTATCACGTGACAAAAGATTTAAAAAAAAAAAATAAAAAAAAAAAATGAAAGAGCAAAGTTCAGGAAAATTCGGGAGCTGCTCAGTAACGCGTTCAGACGAATTTAACAGACACCAAAAGAAGAGCAGAAATAGTGTAACAGCATAAAATCCCAGCAGGCAAAATCTTTGCTTCTTATCCCAAAAGTGGACAAAACCTTTGGTCTCATAGCTATAAGGAAAAATCTAATAAAAAGAAGCAAATTTAACACTCAAGGAACTTTTAATTCAACAAATGTTAATGTCACATTGATACAATAAACAACACACTATCCAATAGTGTAACCCGGATATAAGAGAGTTGTCGGGACCGGAGAAGAAGTCTCTTATATCCAGGTTTGGTCTATGTTATATACATTAACACAGGCTCTAATTTGGGACCAGAGAAAATCTCTCTTATATCCGGGTCTCTTAAATCCGGGTTACACTGTACGTTACAACACCTGCTATTCCCAAGTTGTCATCTAGGCACTGCCCAGGCTCGACGTTGCTTAACTTCGGTGATCGTACGAGAACTATTGTTTCAATGTGATATGGCCGTAAGTCATATATTTTTTTAATTCACAAAAGTATTATACACATTTTAGTCTGCTTCACTTTTTCACCTGTGAAATAATAATTCGCAGTTAGTATTTCTTTTATTTCATTTGTTATATATTTTATGAGTTAAAAATGGCTTCAAGTGAATCGAGTAGGTCTCAGCGAGGAGCATCCTTTTAAAAATGGTTACAGAATCACAAACCAGATAACAGAAACCACATCACTTGACTTTCAACAGCAGCAACTAAAATAGACAGCATTTATAACTCGAAGGAGAATAATGGTATAATCAAGATGCTGACGTTCCACATTACTCCAAACAAAAGGTTAGGAAGGAAACCTACATGAACAATGGAAATAGCATTTGGGACCAGAGAAAATCTCTCTTATATCCGGGTTTCTCATATCCGCGTTACACTGTATACACTTATTTCATGTTCACTAATCTATGTTCCATTTATTCAAAGCCGGTGAGTACTAACCCCGAATTGGAGGGGGTGTCTGATTAGAGGCCCCGGTCAGTGGTTTGTGACCCTCGCTATTTTATCAAAATTTGCTTTTTTTTTTTTTTTAACCTACATTTTGATACGTTAAAAATTAAATTAAGTTCAACTAACGGATGAACTAACTAAAAAGGTTGAAAGATTTTCGCGAATTTTGATGTCCGATTCCGTGAATTTGTTTTCTTCATGTTAAATCACGAAAAAACACTATAAAAAATTAATTATTTTTTTTATCCATAATATTGAACGAGTTAAAATTATTCAACTTAAGAAAAATCTCAAGTTGATGTTAAACTGTTATGGTGAAACACACCTATTCTATTGAGTTAATAGACTCTCCCACCTAATATAAGTAGGAGTAGAAAGAGAAACGAGGGTCAGTCGATGTCGGACATTCTGAGCGACTGATCGGTTCACCTCTCTGTCTCCGGACGGAGAGGAACCCGAAGGAGGCTACGCCGAAGGGCGAAGTCTCCTTCGGGGAAGAAAACCCTGAACCCGTTTATACGGGTTCAAATGGGCTATTTTTGGCTGAGCCTAATGGCTCAGGAATGCCCAATTAAAAAGGCCTTGTGCCGCGAGCACCCTCGTGGGTGGGTGACTGAATATCTCAGTCGATGTCGGACGACCGGCTGAACGGTTGAACTCTCTGCCTTCGGGCGGGGAGGAACCCGAACGAGGCTACGCCGAGGGGCGGAGTCACGTTCGGGGAGGTAAACCGGCCCTGAGCCCGTTTATATGGGTTCAATGGGCATATTTTTGGGCCGACCTTGTGTCACATGATGCCCCAATGGGGCGGTGACTGAATATCTAGTCGATGTCGGACGACAGTCGAACTCTCTGCCCGAAGGCAGAGAAGAACCCAAACGAGCCTATGCCGAAGGGCAGAGTTTCGTCCGGGGAGGTAGACAGACCCGATCCCGTTTATGCGGGGTCTACGGGAATTTTTTTGCCGAGCCTGCGGGCTCGGGAACCTCACATTAAATTCTGCCTTGTGCCACATGTGACTGCGTAGGGTAGTTACTAAATAGCGTCGATGTTGGACAACAGTAGTCGACAGTTAGTCGAATACGAAAGTAGTCAGCGACCACAACAAGGTTACTCTGCGTAATACCTATCTTATCAAGTTCCTAACGTTTTGTACGTCGAACCTATTTTAGGACTGATTTAGTACCAATACAAACCTCCACTGCGAAATAACTCCACAACATAAACATAGCCGCAAAACATTGTTGATTTATTTAAGACGGAATGATGACATGTCTCTAATTTGTATTTAGATTCATTGTAATTATTTAAAAATGTTCTAGTTGAATTGTTCACCTATATTGCATATGGTCCATTATTGTACATAATTTGGTTACAATAAAATTTGCTATCGGTTGAAATTTCTAAAATCTTTCTCTTTAAACAGTTGTTCAGGAAAATAGGTTTCTCCTGTCCAGAAGCTGTTATTGCTCTTTCCGGTATTGATGGGGGTTTTCCTTCCTCATCTTTTATTTGAAGTTGTGCAGAACGTCAAAAACCTGATTATGTCATTATTCTCTATTCGACTTACATAAGTTATCCATTTTAGCTGTAGCTAGTCCTCAAGTAATGTGGTTTCTTTTATTTGGTACAGATCTTTCTTTGTGACTCTGTAGCGCCAGTTTCACAATATTTGAAGAAGGATAGTCTTCGCCAATATCCCAGTCTTCACACACTCAGAGCCATTTTTAACTATTGATCTTAAAAAGCCGTTGTATACAGCTGACAGTTTAGATATTTCTGAATGGGTTTGGATCTGACGAGGCTATTTAAGAATATGAATCAAGTTTTCAACTTAATGTTTTAGTTTTATATCAATTTGCAGTGTTGGACGAAACTATATCTAGCGCAGCCTATTCCATGTTCAATTTCCTTATCTCCTATACTAAATTTGTGATTACTGATCCATTCAGTGAGGCATCTGAAGTGTTTAGTATTTACTAATTCCACATTCTGGATTTTCATGATGGATCCATTGTATGTGCCATCACTGTTTTCATTACAATTCCAGATTATATTAGGTTGGTGCAAAAATAATGACGTAAAAATGTCGTTTTTGACGTATTAACGTCAAAAACGACATTATTACGTCATTATTTTTGCACCAACCTAATAGACTCTATTTTGGAAAGTCCTATTTTTGGAATACTTGGTAAAGGATGATGTTTTCTTATTCAAGACCATTCTTATCCAAACTATGTCGTCGGTAGAACCCACCTCGTCATCAATGCATTAGCCTTGGGTGGGAAAGCGGAAATGCAGCCTTTTTATTTGCTGATTCGTTTTGGATGTGGTATGGAGTGCTTAAATGGTCATTGCTCATCTTTTCACATCTATGCTTGTAAATGCACTGGGCATACTCTAAAAAATACACTGGGACTCTCATTCCCCCTTGTCATTCTCCTGATGAGGTTTGAAATGTTTCCCTATTGGCGTCCTCGCCAGACATGTAAGATTTCGTGAACCGATAAAGTTCTTAGATTGATGCATTCAGTGGATTCGGAATTTGGAAGGCGAGTTCTAAATGATAAAATGTCTCTATTGATTTGGTCGTATGCTGCTGTGAGGTCAGAATCGCAGATATACAATTTCCTATGAGGGAGGGATACATTTTTTACTACAGTCGTTTGATCTCTTACCCGGAGCTGACTTTCATAAAACCACGAGAGTTTTGTTTATATAATATTAATACTTTCATCACAATGGATCCAATTGAGACACCTCTGTATGTGTGTGGGCCCTGAGGGCTACATTTTTTGTTGTTTCCATATTTTAATCATTTCACCCCAAGCAAGGCGATAATGCCGATAGGATGCGGGGGGGTAGGTACAGGGAGTAAAAGAGAATGAGAAAACTTTAGTGACAAGAAATGAAGAAAAGAGAATAAAGGAGCAGAGTTCAGGAAGACAGAAGATGGCAGTTGACGTTGCATTTAACTTTTAAAGTTTGTAGTTATTAGGGAAGCAAGAGATCGGAAAGGCTTCCACAGTCGAGAAGTCCGAGAAAAGAAACTGTTAGAATAGAAGTAGCGGTTGCATGTAGCGAGTTCAACAATAATACAAAGAGGTGCCCTTTTGTCGAATTGCCAAGGTAGCTTATTTTTTTAGCTGAGATCCTTTGCATATTAACGATATCATTTTATCTTTAGTAAGGAAAATATTCTCTTCTTTTCTTAAGAGAGACCTACAATCAAATCACGCTAAAAACACCGTTTCTCGTTTGATCACCGGAGTTAAAGCAGCGTCAATCCCGATCACTACTTAGATGGGGTTGGGAGCAACTTGGGAACACCGGGTACTATAAGCAACCTCCGACAATCCAAAATATGTTTCAACTTTAAATAACCAATGACGGGTTGATAAGCCGTAAAAAAAAAAGACAAATCAATTATTAAAAGAGATAAACGTGTTATTCACTTTCACAAAAATATCAGCAAGGCATGCAATTCCTGAGAATCATTCAGTATGTGTTAATCTCTCTGATAATCGATATTTATATCCGATCAAATAAAACAAATATCTTTAAAATATTCTCACAATACGCATTAAACGTCTGAATACAGGATAGTTGCGAAGTATCTTCATAACTTATTTTGAATCAAAGTGATACTACCACTAGGACGCAAAAAAAAGCTTATCAGAACAGCTGACATGAAAATATTGGTAGAAAAGACAGAGGGAAGCCGCGTGACGTCGGTGAGAAAGTGACTGAAGTAGAAATGCCAGATCGGGATCGATTACATTGATTGAATTTTGTCAAGAATTTCGAGATATACAGCAGAAGCACCAGACCAGTTATGGCAGCGGTATCCAATGTATGGACGAATGATAGATTTATAAATGTGCAAGATGGATTCTGACTAGAAAAATCTTCTGGCACGGCACAGTGAACTAACTTTCCTATCAGTAGATGCAGTAATTGATTCGATGTAGTCGCTTCACCTCATGTCAGTAGAAAACATGAACCCAAGAAAACACAGTGTTGTTCTGATGGAGTTTCGCATCAACCATGCTGATAGCAGGCAGAAATGTTTCTCTGTGATTAAGTGAAAGCAGTTTTATTTTTTCTAGAGAATTGCATTAATATGTGATAAAACCCCACTTTTTTTTTTTTTGGGATGCATACTGATTCCAAACTTTCTTCATAAAATTCCTTTTTTTCTTATTAATACTTTTATTATTTTAAAACGTGTAAAAACAGCTACAAATAATGGAAGCATTAATAATAGCAAAGAAAAAGACATCACTCAATAATATCAATTATGAAAATGGCCACAACATACTGACTTTGTTTGGAAAATGAAATAAAAAAATCATTCCCATCACTATAGATACACATATATTAAAATTTATATATTCAGTTAAAATTTTAAGAAATCCATTTTATTTAATTTTATTTGTGTTCATATAAGTTTTTTCTTTTCTGAACATAAAGTGTGTAAAAACTATCCAAATGTTCTATATATCCAAGCGC